TAATTACTTTAAAGTCTGTGAGCTGTCCAATTTTTGGCTGGGCAGCCATAGGAAAGGATCCCTTCAGCTCGGGGAAATAGGGATGGAGCTGCTGGGATCAACTGTCACCAACCCCTTCCTGCTGCCCCTTCCCATGGGCACAGGATCCCTGTGGCTTGGGGCTGGAGGGCAGCGCTAACGAGCCCCAGGTCGGCCGCACTTTTAAAGCCAGATTTGCCTTTTTTCCTCATTCTTGAAGGTCTGACTCATGGTTTTTGGCACTGGAACGCAGCTCCAGAGAAGGTCAGCCCAATTAATGGCAGCAGCTCCGGACTTTTCCTCCTTGTAATTCCAGCCGGGTGTTTAGAGGAGGCCGACTGCCTGGCGGTGGTGTTCTGGCATGTTTTGTGTCCTGAAAAAAGAGACCTTCTCCCAGCTGTCCCCACGGCACGGGCAGGGAGCAGCCTGGGATGGGGCTCTAACTGATTAGGGGACAGGGTTGTGATTTGATCAGTGGTGGTGTGTCCTGTTGAGATCCTGGCGGGCAGGAGGAACCACAGAGATAGCCCCTCTCACCTCATCTGGACCGGCCCTGGCGTGTTGCGACTGAGCTCTGGCACACTCAGTGCACGAGTGGTCCAGGGAGCCGCCGTCCTGGGCTCGCCGCCCGCATCCCGTGCCCGCATCCCGTGCCCGCATCCCGGCACGCGGGTGCTCGCGGCCGCCCTGCCTGGTGCAGCTGGATGTGGCGAGAATTAATGGAGCACCGGCCGGAGGCGGCTTTAATTAGCGCCGAGGCACGGGGAGGGGGGAAGGATGCCCAGGGACCGCTGCCGCCTTTCCCCGCCGAGGGAGAGACGCCGGGAGAGCATCCAGGCACTGCCGGCCCCCCGCTGCCAGCCCTGCTCCCCCCGGGAGAGCGGCTCCATCCGCATTACAGCGGCAGGGCCCTGCGGCGGCTGCTGCCTCAGCGCCGGGGGGCTGTGGGCATGGCCGGGGGGCTGAGCGGGGCCCACGGGGGGATTTGAGCAGAGCCGGCTGGGAAGGCGCTTGTTCTGGGCTGGGAAATGAAAGGGCCAAAGCAGTCCAGTGAGGTAACACACTTTTTTTTGCTCGTTTTCCTTGTTTTCTTATTTTCCTTCGGGATGGAGCTCCTGAACCCCTGATCTGGACAAAGCCCCACGTGGGGCAACCCCAGGGCTGGGACATGGGGACAAACACAACCCAGTGCCACCCCAGCCCACTTGGATGGAAACCAGCAGCCCCAAATCATGTCAGGATGAAGAGACTGGGCCTTGCACCCCTGGTTGGCAGGGCCTGTCCTGGTTTTGTGACAGGGGCACAGCGTGGTCTGTCTGTCCTTTGTCTGTCCTGGCAATCGCTAAGCTGGCACTGCAGGTGCCTGTGTCCTCACACACCTTGGATGTGATTCAGCATGGCTAGGAAGGGAGGGAGAGACCTGGCATGTGGGACAGTCCCTGGCATGGGATGGGGGTGGAGGATGGTGGTGGAGGGTGAGGAGGATGGAAAATGGGGATGAGGATGGAGGATGAAGATGGAGATGGAGACTAGGGCTGGGTGATGGAGAGGGTGGCTGGGGATGGCGAGGAGGAAGGAGATGAGGAGGAGCATGGAGGATGAGTATGAACATGGAAACTGGGGATGAGAGTGAAGATAGGGATGGAGGATGAGTATGGGAGATGAGGCACCTCTGAACATTTCCAGGCAGCAGGAAGTACCTGTGAGCTGAAAAGCTGGTTTGACCTCCCCAAGGCCCAAGGTGGCACATGGGAGGGGGATCAGGATCCCAAAACATGTGGGTGAACAGCTTGTTAATATGGGAAGAGAGGGATTTGCTCAGGAGTTTCTCTAGCAGCCCTAGCCCATGGTGCCAGGGGGTTTGGGCCCTCCTGGGTGGCAGTAAGGGCATTTGGGAAGTGGGGATGGATGCCAGAGACTGTCCCCAGCTGCCTTGTGCAGCCCTTAGGAGTCCATGGAGACACAGCACTGGCCCCAAGACACCTCCTGTCCCTCTGGGCGAGGCGGCGGGGCAGCGGCTGCCAGTGATTGATGTTTTGTGGGTAATTACTGCAGATAATTAAATATTTAACCATCATCTTTATTATCGGGGTAGCGCCGAGCCAGACAGGAAAGCGCTGCCGTTTGGGCAGGGCTGTGCTGGTGGGTTTGGGGCTGGCAGAGCCGAGTGGTCCCCCTGTGGTGGCCGATGGATTCAGGCTGTGGTGGTGACTCTGTGTCCCTGAGCTGTCTCTTGCAGGTGCAGGGCATCTCTGAGGTCCTCCTTTGGGGATAGGGACAGCACAGACCCAGCCTGGGAGACACAGGTTCCCTCTGTCCTGGTGTCTTGTCCCCATTGTCACCAGAGGTGTATGACTGGCTCTGTTTGCCACCCATGGTGGCCCTTGATGAGAGCTGAGGGGGTTGTGGGTGGTTTTCCCACTCCTTTGTTTTCCTGCCCGTGCCGTGTCTGAGGCAGGGGGTTGGTGTGAGCTCTCAAAGTGGATATTGCTCACAGCTGAGGAGACACCAAGCTGCAATACCATGTCCATCCCCAGTCCGGCTCCTCCTTCCTGGCTACAGTTGCAGGGGGGAATTCTCCAGCCACATCCTTTCCATGGAGCATATCCCAGTGGATCTGCACACTTCCCCCACCATGCAGCCCTCTCCCACAGGTACCCATCCAGCTGCTGGTTTATCTTCATCTACCTCCCCAGCTCTCTATCTGACACTCTCTCAAGGTTTCTCAGCAATGAATTTATCCACTGCTGGGCTCGGGATAAAATTAATTCCCACTGGGAAAAAGCAAGCAGAGGCTGCTACAGAAAGCAGCCTCTCCTTCCCCATCTTCCCTGAGCCCCTCTGTGGGGGGAAGGTTTCTCAGTAGGGACCTTACCCCATTCCTTAATTTCCTTCCTGATTTTTGGTTCCATGTCCTGATGAAAGAAAGAGGAAGAGAAGCCCCCAAGCTGTTTTTTTTTTTTTTTTTTTCCCTGCAGCATCTCTCCCTTCTCTGTCCCAGGGCCACCCTGGGTTATGGAATGGTTTTGGATCAGGGGTCCCACATGGGCAGGGAGGGCTGAGCAGGGCAGCTCTTTGTTGTGAGGCTCGAAATGTGGGTGCTGCAGGCAAAGAGAGACCGAGGGACCTTCCAGTTGCTCTAACAGGGACAAGCATCCAGGGATTGCAGAGCCCTGGCTGGCTCCTGCTGCACCAGCAGGATCTCCCCCGTGCCTCTGCAGAAATAAAAGCTGCTGGCTCCCTCTGTATGGTAGTGATGGGGAAAAAATAAAAGGAGAAAAAAAAGCGCCTTGTAATTAAGCACTCAGCTGCTGTCCTCCCTGGGCAGGCTTGTCAGGAGATAAATGACTGTGTGGGGCAGCCAGTGGCAACGGGAAAGCCAGGGATGTCCCTTGGAAATGCCACGGGGTGGGAGTTGCCTTCCAGCCAGGCTGGGACCTCCACCACCCAGGGGAGGGCTCTGAGGCTTTTTCTCTCCTCAAACAACAGAGAAATATCCTCAAAGCCCCTCACAAGCAATCTGTGTTCCCACCCTGGCTCTGTCCCACCTGGCATGGCCATGGAAAGCTCTGCACAGCCTGGTGTCCTACTGGAATGGCACAGCAGGAGCAGTGAGCCCTCCCTGGGCTCAAAATGGTGTGAATCTGTCCATGGTCCATCTGTCCTCCCTGCATGCCTGTGCTGGGCTGAGGGATCCCTCCTTCCCATCCTTCTTGGGCAGTGTGTCAGGGTTGGCTGCTTGCCATGGAGGAGACAATGTGCAGGCAACACCCATCCTTGGAAAAGCCTCTCCAGCAGGATCTCTGGGACAGAAACACCCCAGAGAAGTGGCTACTGGCAAAAGCTGCTTCTCCAAGCCCAAGTCCAGCTTGGAGAGTGAGGCAGGATGCTCTGCCTTTGCTCCTGACCATTTCTCTTTGTGTAGGGCTTTTGCAGGAGGTTTGTGGGTCCAGGTGGTGCCTCTGCAACCTGGCCATGCTGGTAGTTAAGGCAGCAAATCTCCAGTGGGATCATCCCACGCTAGGAAGAGGGCTGGAGCACTGGGCCGGGGAGCTGGGGCACAGCAGGACAAGGAGAGCGAGGAATGGTGCTCAGCCATGTGCTGATGGCCCGAAGGCACTGAGACAGGGTTGTGTCTGGTTGATCCAGGAGTTTTGGGAGCATCTCCTCCCCCAGGCTTGGGGAGCATCAGCCAGAGCCTCAGCACGGCAGTGCTGATTGGGAACGGTTGTCCTCTTCCAGGGGGTTATTTTTGGAGCCAAGTGAGGACACGTTGACTGTGGTGGGGGAAGGAGGAGGCAGAGACACGTGAAGGTGAAGGAGCAGGGAGAAGGCAGGCGGGCAGAGGCTGCTGGGGATCCTCTCCTCTTGCAGCTGGCACCTGGCCACGGTGGAGGGTGCCAGGTCATGGGCAGAGGGTGCCAGGCCATGGCACGAGGGCATCAGCAGGCGTTTGCTGACTGGGCCAGACATCTGGATGTCCCATGTCTGCATCTGAACCAGGCAGTGCAGCTGGAGAATGCAAGGGGATATCTGAGGTCTTTGGGTCCTTTCCTTTGCTGAGTGGGGACAGTGCCTGGGGTGTCCCCAGAAAGCTGTGAGGATGGATGCCTATCCCTGCTCCAAACCCACGCTGGCTGACAGTGGGATCCATGGGGCTCGGAATTACCCCTCTCCACCTGTCCTGCTGCTGCTGTATAGTCCTGAGCCCCACAGTTTGCCAGGTTTTTTCCATACAAGGCTGGCAGAGCATCCTCCTCTCCCATGAGCCAGCCCCCTTGGCATGGTGATGGGAGTAACCCCAGCCTCGCTTTGTGGATGAGGAAACTGAGGCAAGGCACAGGATGATCTCCCAGTCACTGTCCCCACCAACCTGCTTTTGAGACAAATTTTGCCTTCATGTCCTGGCAGGGTCCCCTTGCCCTCATAGGATGGGAACCAGGGCAAGGACTGACCCCTGACTCTTTCTCTCCCTCCCAGGCAATCATGGCTCTCTACAACAATGGGGCTGACGTGCCTTCGCCCCAGGAAGCTTCCAACGGCTTCTCCCAGCCCGGTGCCTCCGGAACGTGGCACAAGGGTGAGGAGGAGGTGCGTCTGGTGGAGCCCAGCATGGTAAAGAAGGCTCACCGGGAAATCCTGGACCATGAGCGCAAGCGGCGGGTGGAGCTGAAGTGCATGGAGCTGCAGGAGATGATGGAGGAGCAGGGGTGAGTGGTGAGGGAAGTGGGAATGGGGTCCTTTTTACCCACCTGCACCTTGTGCTTCCCCTTAAAAAAAAAAAAAATACCTCGATGTGGCAAATGTCCCCATTTGGAAGTAAATCCACTTTAGGGTGAATCAAACAGCTTTGGGGTGAGATGGTGGGTTGGTGTGTGGAGGAAAATGCCTCCAAGAAACCCAGTCCTAAGAGTGCAACCACACGTGTTGGAGGTTGGCCCCCTCTGCTTGGAAATCTGGGCTCCCAGCTTGTCATGCAGGGAAAGCCGAGGCAGGAAGGAGGAGCAAAGGGGCTGGAGAACATCCCTGCCTGGGTGGGTAGGAGAGGTTGGGGAGCCAGCGAGGACACCCCCATCCCTACCAGATGGAGCCATGGCTGTGCTGCTGGCTGCCCCACAGCTCCGGCACTAGCCAAACATCCTGATCCCCCTGACAGCTCGCTAAAACCCGATGGATGGAGTAAATTCTTTGGCACACGTGGGTAGACGGGGACTGGTACCAGCTGGGGAGAAGGAAAATGGATTGAGGGAAGGCTTCGCCAAGGCTTTCATTAAGAGTGCAAGCGTGACCTAGAATTAAATTGTCTCACACTGACTGGAATAATGATTGTGCCTAATTTGTCATTATGGAAATAAATAAGGCTGACCTGGCGCTTTGGGGAGCCCAGAGCCTCCCGTTGGGTTCCCGTACCCTACGAGGGCTCTTACTACTGGTAGTATCATTACTGCAGCGGGTAAGAGCAACGCTGCAACTGGTATTGTTGTTATTGCTGTAATTGCTTTGCTGTTATTAAGGCTATTAATAACGATGATGGTGGCGATACGCTGGAATGATAACGTAATTACAGTAATAATCTTGGTCAACCTGGTTAATCCTCTCCCTGTTCTTCCCCTCCGCACAGGGGTTCTCCAGGAGGGTTCCAAGGGAAGTGCTCTGCACTCCTCAAGGTTTCTGTCTGGCCTGGGGGTTGCATCCTGAGTGTGGCTTAGGGGGAGCTGTTGACAGGGCCAGGGCCCCCGGGATGGATGTGAGTGTCAGCTGAGGGGGTTTTGCAGGGTTTTAAGCACTCCCTTGTTTCCTTAAAGCTGGATGGCTCCTCCTGCCTGTGCTGCAGCTCGCTCCAGGCTGCCTGCACTGTTATTCCCTGCCTGCAGGCTGGATTCCTTGTCCGGAAAAGAAGTGTCAGCATTTTTTCTTTCTTTCCCAAACCCACTCTATATGTTAAATGCAAAAGCAAAACCCCTCCAGAGGGGTTATAAGCAGCACCAGAGGAATGCAGGAGGGAAGGAGCTGGAGGTGCTGGGGGGTGCCTCACCCCAGCCTCCCCCCGCAGATTTGCTAAAGGCCCAGCCATGGTGGCCCATCTGTCACCTCCTGTTTGGCCTCATATCCCCTCTCTGAGAGCATCAACCGCATTCTTAATATGCTGCAGCAAATACTCATCCCAGGCAGACATGTTCCTGCTGCCATGGGCCGGCTGATGTCCATGGGATGCCCGTGGGATGGACAGGACTGGCGGCTCTGTCCTTGCGGGGTGACCACACCCTGCCCAGCTGGGTGCACTGCCATCGAGGCTATGGGGCAGAGCAGTATCTGGGGATGCTGCCCTGTTTTTGGGGCCCCCCATGCCCAGGTACAAGGTGAGGGGAAGCAGCCAGGCTGCCTCCATGCTCTGTTAGCAGCCCTCCTCCTGCGTGGAGTCCGGCTGGGCAATTAATGAGAGCCTTTCAGCGCAAATGAGCTCGTTAATATTAATTCCCTTCTTCTCTCTGTTCCTCTTCATGGGCACTGAAGGGGAGGTGAGTGATGCCACGTGCCCCTCTGCACCCAGGGCACCCAAGGGCACCCCCAGCACTGTGAGGGGCATTACTGTCCCCAGCATGGGCACTGCGAGGTGCCAGCCTTGGGGACCAGAGAGCTCGGCCAGGCTGTGACACCCGGTGTTCTGGGCTTGTAGCAGCAGTACTGGTGGGATGTGATGGCAAGGGTGGGTCACAACAGCCCCTATAGAGAGGTGAAAACAGGGGCACCCACAGAGCCTGAGGGTCCCTCTCTCTTTGCCCTGTCCTCAGGGATGATGTCAGGAGCATCATGGGTCTTTCCACCACATCCCTTCCTCGGGATGTTTTTAGTCGAGGAGGTTGGGGTGTTTATGGTCAAGGAGGATGCTCAGGTGCCCTTGTGCGGCCACGGGATGCTGCACAGGGCCACCCACCCAGGGCTGTCACCTGTCCCTTCCCAGGGATACCTCGGGGACGACTGGAGTGCCGTGCTTTGCCGCGGTTGTTCCCACATGCCAGGGACAAAGTGATTAGTGCCTCTCGTTAATAAGCCTGCAGTGGCCTGAGTCAGCGTTCGGTGTTAGTGCAGAGCTGGCTCGGCTGCCGGGCCCTGGCGCAGCGCAGGGATGAGAGAGGGAAACTCACGGTGGGATGGAGATCCTGGGATTGAACCCCTGACACTGCCGAGAGGGTTTGGCAGGATGTGCCCCAAAGCCTGGGACACTGATGGGGAATCGCAACCTCATGGTCATTCTTTTGTTTTACCCCTTTCTGATGTCCCTTCCTCTGCCAAGCGCTTCTGGGAGGGGCAGGCAGGACAGAGGAGGGCACAGAGGGTGATGGCATGGGGTCAAACAGAGGTCCTGCTCTCCTCCAAGCCCTGATGACTGGCACCATGCCACATTTCCTTCTGACCAGCCCTTTGGGCCAAGTGTCACTCCCAAGTGACAAAGGTATGGAGGTCACCAGCAGCTCCATGGGGAGCCCACGCTCCAGCCATGGCAGCTCTGACCATGTCTTTGCCCATCCAGGTACTCCGAAGAGGAGATCCGGCAGAAAGTGGGGACCTTTCGGCAAATGCTGATGGAGAAGGAAGGTGTGCTCACCAGGGAGGACCAGCATGGGCGCCAAATGTAAGTGAGGCAGCTCCCAGTTGGCCCATCTGTGTGTCCTGCCTGTCTCTCATCCCAGAGAGGCCTCTACTAAGTGGCAATGGCTTGCCAGGTTAGCTGATGTTCTGTAAGCTAGAAATATTAGTGTTATCAGTAATAGTTAATAATGGTGATAATAATTTCTGTTGCAATAGGCCCAGGCTGGACAGGCAGGGCTGAGCCTGCTTCTCCTCTGAACAGCCACAGAGCCTGTGTCTCCATCAGGCTGGTGTATCCCCAAGAAACCCCAAGGAAGAAGCTTCTCCAAGGAGCTCCTGCCCTGTGCCTCTGCCTTCTAATCACTCCTCATGCTGCCTGGTCCTGGGGGCCTCCATCTGCCCTGGGCGGGGGTTTGGAGCTCAGGTTTAGGGTCCAAAGCAGCCCAGCTGCTGCTGGGAACGTGCCAGTTGCTCCTCCTGCCCCACACAGGACTGTCCCCAGCCTCACCAGGGTCTGCCCTGGCTCAGTGATGATTTATCTGCACGATGCTTAATGGCCCAGGCAGCGTGGCTGGCCTGGCGTGCACCATCCATCAGCCTGGAAACCAGGTCACTTGGGACAGGAATAGATGGTGCAGGTTCACTGAATATTAATGCTTCATTAGGGTCAGAAAATCAGGGCGGGGAGGGAGGCAGGGAAGCCGTGGTGGCAGGGAGAGCCTTCCACACACCACTCCACTGGCACAGCAGGAAGGGACAGACAGAGGGACAGACACAGGGACATGGCTCTGCTGTGCCCTGCCCAGGATGGGCTGCGTGGCCTTGAGGCAGCGTGAAGCATTCAGGGTCCTTCTCCAGGCAGGAAAAAAAACAATGTATGGAGAAAACCAACCTGCCCAGGTCACAGAGCATCAAGCCTGAGGTGTTAACAAGTGGCCTTTGCTGGTAGGGGCAGGAGTCATCTCCAGGGCATCTTCCTGGCAGGTTCGTTAGGGCTGGCACAGTAACGAGTACCTGGGAAGCCAAGGGTGCATTAAGGTTACCCAGGCAGCCCTGGCTGTCACCTTTACAGGCTTGGTTTTGCAAAACGAAGGGTAATCATTAAAGATTAGCCCCAGGGCTATAAATAATAGTGCTGAGCTGGAAGGAGCAGTCTCACAGCAAAGGATTGCTCGGAGGAGAGCAAAGCTGGAGGCGCTCAGAGGAGGATGGTAGGAGCTGGGTTCAAAGGAGGTGGCTCTTCAGGCAGCAGGAGGATGTCCTGGGTGCCAAAGGTCTGTACTAGATCAAGAGGCTGGACAAGGATGTTAAATAAGCTTTAAATAAGGAGCCTCAGCCCTTATGGTGGCTGGGAGAGCACTCAGCAGAACATCTCGTGGGCTGGTCCTGCTCCAGCACCTCTCTGGGCTTTTACAGCTCAGTCCTTGGCTGCCAGGGCTGTGAGTCTGAACCAGCTGGTCTCGTTTCAAAGCTGATGTGAGAGCTCAGTATCATCTGCGTAACTCCCCAGGGGAGACTGAGGCACTGAGCAAAGCCATGACCACCTGAGCCCCTGGCTTTGCTCTCTGCACTCCCCCAGCTCCCGCCTCCATGTGCACAGCCCGGTGATACAGCCCAGTCCCCAAGGAGAACTGCTTGATGGACAGGCTGGTGGGATTACAGACAAAGGCAAGCATGTGCAGGGCAGGGAGGAGGGATAATTGGAGCAGCACAAGCTGGTCTTGAGCCGCTGAGCACAGCTAATGGGTGAGATGCTGGCAGCAGGCTCTGGTGTGGAGCACTGCCTGCTCGCCGAGCAGAGACACACAGGGAATTATCCCCGCTCACTTCTCTCTTTCCCTCCTTTCTCCCCCTTCCCACAGTTGGGTGGGTGGTTGAAAGGCTGTTCCTGCCCTTAGGGCATGGCCAAAGCAGGAGTCACTTGGAGAGGACCCAGAAAGCCATGGCTGTGGCGCAGAGACCCGCTTGAGCGATCGCCAGTGATTAGGAGGAGGGTGCCTCGTGTAGTTTCGCTCCAAGACATTTTTAATTGGGTTAAACAGCCCATGGCCTGCCTGTGGCCAAGGATGCCAACACGTGCTGCTCTAAGATCTGGTCTGGATCTGGGATCATCCCTGCACTCAGGCACTGTCCAGGCTACCAAGGGACTGATGCTGGGGGGGCTGCACTTCTCCACCAGTGTCCAGGAGCATCCTGGCTGCACACCTCCGGGATGGGAAGGGTGGAGCAGCCCACATCAGGTTTCCAAGGGCAAATCTCCCTTGGGAAGCAAACACCTGGGCTGGTGTGGTGCTGGGCACCCTCCAGGCACGGCCCCATCCATTATGATTCTCTTCAGAGTATCTGGACGGCCACATCCCTCCCTGGGTGACATGTCCTACATCCCCCCAAGAGCAAAGGAGAGGGTCCCTGTGGGGTGTGATGCTGTTCCTGGGGCTGATGGCACAGCTGGACCAGGGAGGTGAAGACAACAGGGAGAGATTGGGCAGGGGCTCCTAGGACCCTCCTAGTCCAGCTGCCAGGCCTCTGCCAAGCCCTGCCCACAGCCCCGGTAGTCAATGGCAACCTCACGCTGGTTTCCATGGCAGTGGGAAAAATTAATGCTGACGAAGTCACTCACTCAGGAGAGGAGATCCTGATGGCTCAAGGCATGATGTCCCCCCCACCCCCTCACCTGGCATGGTGGGGACATCAACCATCAGCTGCCTGAAGCTCCTGTGCTGAGCAGGTGGCACCTTGGGGCACCAGCCTCAAAGCCGAGATTATCCTGGTCAGCTCCCACCTGAATTCCCAAGTTTCCTACCAGCTCCTCTTACCCTTATCCAGCCCCACCACCCACCTGGGCCAATCCAGCCTCCAGCTCAGCCCCAGCTCTTGGGCAATGACAAAAGGGGCTCCGAATGCTGCCCAGGCTGGATTCTGCAGGGAGATGGTGGCCCGAGCCTCGTGATGTCCCTGTGCCAACCCCGTGGGGATCTCTGCAGGGACTGGAGCCCCAGAAAGACCCTGAGAAGACCCCCACCACTTTGTTGTTGTGTGTACCTCAAGGGATGTGACCAAGTCCCCTGGGAACGCTGTGGTGGAGGGGATGTCCCCCGGCCACTGCGGCTGCATTGGGAGTTCCCCCCAGCCGGTGGAAGGCAGGGAATGGGTATCCCTAAATTAATTCCGCGCTTCCTCCTTTGGCAGCGTGATAGAAAACCACCACGGGGCGGATGGGGAGGAGTACGCGGTGGAGTATCCCGACTATGGCGAGGGCTGCCTGCTGCAGTGCGACTGCTCGGCCGAGTGCTACCGCGAGGACAGCGGCCACCGCGAGTACAGGTCCGCGGGAATTTCGGGAATCGGGCGCGCACGGTATCCCCGTGCAAGGATACAGAGGTGTCCCTTCTTCCCTCGACCCTGTCTGCTGTCTCCCACAGGCTGAAGAGGCGCTCGAGCAGCTCTACCTCTCCTCCCCCCAAGAAGAAAAAGAAGAAGAAATCGGGTCACCGCCGGAGCCGGTGAGTCCCCGGCTGTCCCTGCCCCGTCCCCTCTCCCAGGAGGGCAGCTCTGCTCCCAGTTCGGCCTTTCCCCAGGCTCTGATGGCGCAAGTCCCTCCACTTTGGTGGTCAGTGCCCCTCCAAACACGCACCCTGAAGAGGTGCAGTGCATCTGCATGTCCTGATGTTGCAACATGCACACGTGTGCACACACCTCCTGCATGCACTGGTCTGTGTGGGGAAGGAACTGGCTGCTGCAGGGCACAGCACTGGGCAGGATTTGGCTCTGTGAAGGGTCTGGCTCCATCTGCCTGCTGGTCCCCTCCCTAGTTAGCACTGGCTGCCTGGGCAGATGCTGTCCCTAATGCCTCTTTTTTCTTTGCCTTTCCCATGGCAGCAAAAAGAGGAAACCTGGCTCGGAGCGCAGGTGAGTGTTCACTGGGCTGGGTGGGCTGTGGGGTCCCTGCTGGGATTACAAGCCCTGGGAGCATGATCTGGCCTCCACAACGCACTATCCCCCTCTGAAATCCCAGTGGGAACTGGCCACCTTGTCTCCTGCTGGAGGCTGTGGAGCCCATGAAGTGGCAATGAGACATAGCAGGATTTGGGCATTCTGGCATCAAAAGGCAGCCAGAGCCCTTCTGCCAAAAGGCCCTTTCTGTCACCCACCCCAAATCCTCCAGGAAATAACTTCCATGAGATGTTCATGCATCCCATGGGGTGTTCCAGGGGAAGTGGAGGGAGGGGGGCATTGGGAATGGGATGCCACTAGGCAATGGGGATGGGGCTGGGAAGTCCCCTGCTGCCCCCTCAAGGGCACCCACTCCTCCCCCAGCTGTGACAGCTCTTCACCCATCCGCAAGGAAAAGAAAAAGAAGACTGGAAAGAAACACAGACGTGACAGGTAGGATGGACACCATGGCAGGCTGGGGACACCAGGCATGGCTGGGGACCATGGGGCTATTTGGTGACTGCCCAGGCCCTTGGGCTGGGGTGGGATTGAGGCATGGATAGAGATGGAGGCTGATGACTCTTTGTGGAGCCATCGCCACCTCACAGCCACTGTCACCTGCCCAATCCAGCAGCCCATCTTGGGGCCACATCCCTGTCCTTGTCCCCATCTCCTGGGGCTGCCCAGCTGACCAGCTCAGTGTGTCTCCTTCATCTCTGCCTCCTCTTCATCCCTCAGATCTGAGTCAGGGTCACGGAAGAAGAGAAGACACAGGTAAGAGTGAAGGCTTCTGGGAGCCACCCCAGTGCCACCAGCGCTGGCTGTCAGCTTCCCCTGCCAGAGACCCCCTGTTCCCTGCCTCCATGCTGTCCCCCTCCCCTCTGCTCACGGGGATGGACCCCCTCCTCCCATGGCTGGACACTGCTGGGTGTCCGCCACCCTTGGGCGTGGCACAGGGCCACTCTGGGTGACTGTGGGGTCCCACATGACCCCCAATGCCCCCTAGGGAAGAAAGGGGGATTCCAGGCAGCCATGGCCAAGACAAACCCTGGCTGTTGCCCTGCTCTGCAGATGCCTTCTGGCACCACTGCTATTCTAGGGTGAAAGAAGTGAAAAACAAAGGGTGTCTGGGAGTGCAGAGGGTCTCAGAGGGGACTAACACAGAACAAGGCAAGTGTAGGGGTGACCACGGGCCCAAGCCCAGAGGATGCAGAGCCAGTCCCCCCTTCCCACTGCCACCCCCTCCTTCCTGGCCTCACCAATGGGCACCTGACCCCATGATCCTCCCAAAGCCATCTGGGATCCCCTCCGTGCTTTGAATCTCAATGGATCCCAGCTCCAGGCAGGTCCTTCCCCTCGCTCCTCCTGCACCCTCGGTTCCTCTGGGGGAGGCTGGGGAAGCCACCCCCCCCAGATGCTTCCCCTGCTCCCACGCCTGCAGCTTCCGGCTCTTCCCGCAGGTCCCGAAGCCTCAAGAACAAACGGAAAGAGAAAAACAAAGAGCGCAAGAGGTGAGGGAGCCGGGACGGTCGGGGGAGCGGGGTGCTGTGCCCCTCTCTGCGTGCCCCAGGGGGGACTCAGCCTCCCCCCGCGGCCCCCGGCCGCCCTCTCCGCAGGTCCCGCAGCGAGTCCCCGGCCTGGCGCTCGCACCGGCGCAGCTCCTGCAGCTCCCACAGCGCCTCCCTTTCCTCCGACGACAGCGGCTCCAAATCCCCGGGCAGGTAGGGACAGCCCGGGACAGCCCACGACAAACTGACCCCCAGCCTTCGCGATGTGGGCTGGAGGGCAGGGACAGAGATGTCTGTGTGGTGGAGGGCAGGAGGTAGGTGGCAGAGGTATCCCAGGGATATGGACCCTTCGCGGGGGATGGAGGGGAACAGGATGGTGCTGCAGCACCTCCGGAGGGTTTGGGAACGTCCCAGGTGGGGTTTCAGTTTTTGACTAGAGAAAGCAGAAACCACCAGTTCTCACCCCATTTCTGGCTTTGGCAAAGCCTGCCCCGCAGCCTGGGCTGCTCTGCCAGGCCGGGCGGTGCCGGGCTCGGGGCTGGGGGTGCCGGCGGCTCACGGTGCGGTGCCCCGCAGGCTGAGCCCCAAGCGCCGGCAGGATGGTCCCAAGGGCAGCAGCGCCCGCTCCAGCCGCAGCCCGTCCTCGCCCTCGCCCCAGCGCTCGGCCTCGCCGCACCAGAACGGGCACAAGGGCAGCGCCCAGAACGGCCGCCACAGCCACGGCGCCCCGCTCCCGGAGCCCTCGGATGTACGTAGGCTTTTCTTGGATCAATCTTCGCTTCCCTCCCCTCCTCCCTCCACAGGACTGCCCCCCTGCTCTCCTCTCCGCTCCTTCCCCACTCGATCGGCTCCCCACCCTGCCCAGCCGGGGCACACGGGGGGGAGATGCACTCACCAACCCTGCACTTGGGTGCACGGTCTCCCTGGGGGAGCCAGCCCGTCATCTCGGGGCAAGGATCAGGGCAGCCAGCAAATCATCCCTCCCCCAAAGCCGCGCATTGCCCTGCAGATGTCACCCCCGAGACGATGGCTTGGCAGGCCAGCGACACTGCCAGGGTCACCACTGGGCTCACCACCTACTTGAGACTGAGCCCAGACAGGCAAGAAATGGGTAAAGCTGGAAAATTCATTTCCCCACCACCCCAAACTCTCTATAGTGCCAAGGGGCCGACACCAGCGCTCAGGACTCCAACACCCAGTCTGGCCAGGGTAGGGTTCGGAGGGGATTTGGTGCTGGATGCTCAGATTTTAGGGTCCCCATGGCAGGTGACACTGGGGCTAAGTGTCCCTGGCTCTGCCTCGTTGTCCTGGGGGTCACAGTGAAACCTGGGGGGCTGCTCCCATGCTGAGAGGACAAAACACTAATCCTGTGGGACAGAGGGCCAGTCCCAGTTTAACCAGTGCCGGGATGGCAAGGAGCCTGCTTTGGCGAACAGGGACTGGAGGCAGAGCTAAGTGAAGGCAGCGTGCTGCATGACCCCACTCCTGGGGGGCACAGAGGTCCCCACTTGCCTCAGGGGACTTCATTCCCATGGGTGAGGTGCTATGGGGACACTGCCAGGCTGGCAGCACCCAGTGCTGACACCCCAACACCTGCAGGGCAAGGGGCACCCCGGAAAACGGGGCCCAGGAGCCCCCCACCCCATATCCACATCCCCTTCACTCTCCCCAGCCCGGCACCCCCCAGCAGCACCCAGCACCCAGCCCATCTCTTGGAGCACCTCTCTGCTTTCTTCTTTCCTGTGGTTTTGGCTGGGGTGTGGGGGGGGGTTCGGGAGCCCCCCAGGCGCCCGGCTCGCCCCGCTCTCCCCTGCCCACCCCCCAGCATCGCCCAGGCCGACGAGCTCCCTTGGCTCCCCGGCACCAGCGGGACTTTTCTCCAACAACTTTCTCTCTTTCTCTCTCTTTCTCTCTCTCTCTCTCTCTCTCTCCTTTCTCTCTCTGGTTTCTATTTTTTATTTTTTTTTCTTTTTAATCCCATCTGTGTTTTTCTTTAGCCTCCCATTTGAAAAAAACCCAAACGGTAATATACACTTCCATTTCTTGCTCAGCAGAAGCAGGGACGAGGGGGAGGGAAGGGCAATGAAACGTGCTTTTTTTTTTTTTTTTTTTCCGCCCCCTTGTTTTAGTTTCCTTTCTCATGATTTCTTTTCTTTTCCCTTGTGATGTACAGAAATGCAAACGATATATATTTCTCTTATTTTCATTTTTTCCCCTCCCCGTCGTCGTTGTGTTGTTCTAGAATTTTTTGCTTTTGTGTGTGTTAATGTGGAGAAGAAAAAAAAAAAACCAAACAACAACAAACCCAAAGCCAAAAACCAGATGTGTTTTCTAAATATTTACGACCGCTGAACATTGTATTTCCATTTTCTGTATTTTGAACAAGGAATTTAAAAGGGAAGAGAACCCAGCAGCCCTCCACTGCAAAGGGAATGGGCTTGTTTCCATCTCATGAAGTGAATTGCCCTTTTCCTCCTCAAATTGGCTACTGTCCCATGTCCTCAGCTGGATCCTGCTGCCGTGGGGATGCTTTTCCTCCCCGGTTGCAGGATGAGGCTGCTGGGTGCTGGGCTATCCGAGCACCCCACAATCATCCCACACCCAGGTATCCATATCCTGCATCCCGGCAGGATGAGTGCTGAGCATCCTTGATACCCGGCCCCCTCCCCATCTCCTGCAGACCCCCTAAAGCTCTGGGCTCAGCCCATCCCCCAGGTGAGCTCTGTCCCCTCCCAGCACCCCCAGAGCCACCGGGAGCAAGGGGTGGCCTGGGGCGCTGCAGGGTGTTCCCTTCCCTTTTAAATACCCAGTCCTGTCTCCATCCATCCCCGCTGCCTTCCCACCCTTCCTCCCGGGTCTCTCCTCCTCCTCCTCCTCCTTGCCCACACACACCCTCCAGCCCCTCTTTCTCTCCGGTTTTCTTTGGGCCAACACCACCCAACATCCCTCGCCGTGTCCCACCTCCATCCATCGCCTTCCCTGCATGTTATCCGGGACTTTGCCATGTTGTAGAGTGACATTTTAAGACTGAACTGCAACCGGGTTACAGACACCAGCCAGCAACTCCCCCCGTGGCCACCCCGCTCGGCGGCCGGCCACAGCCTTTCCATTGAAAAACAAACAAAAAAGTTTACAAAAAAAAAAAAAAGATAAAAATTAAAAACTAAAGAGACCAATTTAAAAAAAAAATAATTAAAAAAAATTCTAAGCAGAGCAAACGGGATTAGCCGAGGGGTCTGGATCGCCGTACTAAAGAGTCCTTGTCTTTTTCCCATTCTGCCCTCCAAATGTGGAGATTATTGTTTTCTTTTTTTATTATTGCATTCCTGTCACTGCCAATTCCGAAGGTAGGTATTTTGTCCACCTCTGCACGTTCACTTCTGCAGATGAGCCTGTTGAAAAGCACCGTAGCTTGATTTAATGTTATTTTCTCTTTCTTTCTGACTTTCTTTCTCTTTCTTTCTCGCTCTCCTTCTCTGTCTCTCTTTCATTTTGTCTCTTTTTGGTGGCTATATATGATTTTTTTTTTTTTTTGATTTGTATGGTTTTCCCCAGTTAGCTGCAAAGCCATGCTCTTCTCTTACGTTCTTTATTTATATATTTTTTTGCCCTGTCCACGTAATATTTTTTTCTTTCTTACCCCCTTTTCTCTTCCCCGTCTCCTCGTGCTGTCGGTAGAATGCATTTCTGTGTCTTTCAGCCCTCCGAATTTGTGTTCGTTTCCATGCAGGGGCTGCTCCCTTTGAGTCCCCCCTTAGTAGCCCAGTAACGAAGGCAAACGTAATTAGTGAGAAATAGGGGCAGTGGCCAGGGGTGGGAGTGGGCACAGGGGGGGGTTGGGTTGAATGGATGGGGCAAGACGTGAGAAATTTGGGGAGATGTGTGGGTTTACCCCCTCTTTGGGTCTTGATGGGGAAAAAACCCCAGCTCAGGGGAAATACTGGGAGGCTACAATGGGGAATGGTTGAAATCTTCCTCTGTGGAGAGGCAGGTCTAGGGCATCACATTCCCCAGGAGCAGGGGATGGCATCCCAGCCCTGGATGTCCCATCCCCACGAATGCCCAGTGTGTGTTTTCCCTTTTGGGCTGGGTCTTTGCCGATTTGGGTTTATTTGGGATGCTTTTACCTTCATTGCCTTCCTGCGCGCCTGGGCAGGAGACTGCAGGGTTTGGGTGGGAGCCCCACATCCCATAGCATGGCCAGCTGGCACCAAAATGCTGCCCTGGGAAAGAGGAAAGCCCTTTCTTTCTCTCTTCATCTTCCTCTTCTTCTACTTCATCTTCTCTGCTTTTATTTTCCTCTGCCGGGACACGGGGCTGGGAATGGGCTCAGCTGAACCCCTTGTTCCTTCCCCTCTCACTGCAGCCATTGCAACAGCGACAGATTTTTAATAAAAAAACCAAATCCTCCCATTTTGGCTCCAGCTTGCTGCTCTCTGGCTGGAGGCATTGGCTTATCCAAGGGGACAAAGAGGTGGGGTGTGGAGCAGTCTGGGATGCTCAGGGATGCAAATGGTCTTGTGACCCTTTTGCAGCGTCTTTGTGGTGGTCCCCAGAATCCCACCCCTTCCCCCTTCCTGTTTGCTTTTGGGGGAGGAAAGTGGTGTCTAGGACACAGTGGGACAGGTAGAGAGAACCTCATCCTCAAGGATTCACCAGAGGTATTTGGGGTATGGGTATGGCAAGGAATTGGGGTCAGAGGCCCTGGGTGTACTGGCACCACCCCAATCCCCCTGAATCCTCTTCAGTCCCCTCAGCTGGACTCCCTGTGCAGGATTCACCCTTCCAGGGAGACCCAGGGACCTGGTGTTGGGCTGTGTCTGGGGAAAGGAGACCCTAAAGCCAGGGGTTTGTCAGCTTGGTCAGGGCTGGTGGTGCAGGAGCTGTTTCCACCCATCTTTTTGGTCTAGTGATGTTTGCAAAGATGGGGAAAACACCCAGGCAGCGTTTGTGGCTCAGAGGAGCTCAGATATTTGGGAGCCCCAGGGCCAGGCAAAACCCTCTCAGCTCTTGGTGAGAGCCTGGCTCGGTGCTTGGCCATGGTGGTGGCCCAGGGTTACCCCTCCCTGTAGGAGAAGTGAGTTGGTTTGTTTTATTTCTCCTCTCTCTGGCTCTGTCTCTGTCTCTCCTCCTTCTCTCGCTCTTTCTTTCTCTCTTGCATTTTTGTGAATCTAATGATGCACTTATATTGCCCCGCTTTTCCCTTCTCTTCATACCTTACCTACTAAAGGAGGAAATGCCACTTTTTTGGTAAGTGGATGTTAACCAAGAGGGACTTAAAAAAAAAAAAAAAAAAAAAAAAAAAAAAAAAAAAAAAAAAAAAAAAAAAAAAAAAAAAAAAAAAGGAAGCAGAAAGCAAAGTCTGTGTTGAGTGCTGATGAGGACTTAGCAGTTCCCTGCAGAGTCACAGCTAACAGCTCAATGCGTGTCCCAGGAAGAGCTCAGAGACATTCGTTTATCTCAGTAATGAGGACATTTGTGAAGTTTTGCTTTGTTTTGTTTTGTTGGTTTTTTTTTTAATTTTTAAAAATTTTTATTTATTTATTTATTTATTTATTATTTGATTTGATTTGGATAGTTTTTCTTCTTTCTTTTTCTGTTGGTTTCTTTTTTTGCCTTCTCGTCCCCAGCCCCCCTCCCCTGCCTTGCCCTCCATTGTCGCTCTGTGCCGTTTTTTCCTCGTTTCTGGATTTGTTTTAAGCCGAAAGCCATACTATCGATAAAAACTACACGTATCAGAACATATATCTCTATATATGTGCATGCCTCTGTGTGAGCAGACCCTATCACCTCCAGCCCTCTTTGGTTCGACCCCTTCCCCTCGGCTCAGTCTGATTTACTCTCCCCCATCTCCCCTCTTCCCTCCTCTCATCTTTTCTTTTCCTTCCCCCATTTTCCTCCCTTCGTTTGGGTTTTACCCCCATTTTCCTTCTCCCTTTCTTGGTCGGGGTGGGCGGGCACCAGGGTTTGCTTTATCCCCTCTCCAGGTGTTTTTTTGGGGGGGGAGGTTGGGGGTTGTTTCTTTCCTTTCAAGCTCTCCCTCCCTGACGACTTGGGGGTTTTTCTTGGATTTATTTATTTTCCTCCCATCCCACCCTTTCCTTTGGGTTTTTTATTACGATTTGAGTTGAGTTATATTTTTTTGGCGTTTTGCATGCGGAGGTTTGCATGACCCACGTTGTTGAGGGCGAGAGGAAGGTGCAGAGTAGCGTCTGTGTAGCCTGCCTTATGCGATGTGCATTGACGTTGTGATCTGCGCCCCCGACCCGGCGCCCCCCGTTAAAATCCCCTTTCTCCTTCTTTCTTCTCTTCTTCCCCCCTTCTTCCTTTCCCTCCTTCTCTCTCTCCCCCTCTGCCAGAGGCCGGCCTCGGCGTCCCCCTCTCCGCGGGCTCATGGCAGGACGGAGCCACTGTCCCCCCGCGCCCGGGGGGGCCGACACGGTGCCCGCAGCCCCCGGTCGCCCACGCCGGAGCGGGGCAAGCACGGCCACCGGCATCGCTCCCGCAGTGCCTCGCCGCCCTCCCGACACCGCGGCCAGAGCAAGGGGCGGCCCCCGGGCCCCCGGGAGCCCCCGCCGGCGCCGCTCAGTCCCCCCGGCTACAGCAGCGACTCGGAGGGCTCGGCGGGGTCACACCCCTACCACCCGCCGGCCGGCCCCGACAGGAACCACGGCGCACACGGGAAGAAGTAAGGGAAGAACTTCGGGATGGGGTCGTGTTGTCACTGATGGGATATGGGAGCTGGGTTGTGGTATTTGGGGTGCAGCCCCGTGTGGGCACCTTGAGTCCATCCAAGGAAAGCTCTGGGGGGCAAGCTGGGGATCAAGGATGGGTTGGGATGCTCAGGGAATGGGGATGGAGATGGGGACGTGGATGGGGATGAGAAGGGGAATGGGGACAGGGATGGGGACAGGAATTGGTACAGACATGGGATAATGATGGGGATGGGGGAGGAGGAAGAAGGGGATCTGGAAAGAAAGAAAGAAATTTGGGTTTGGGTTCGGATCAGGGGACAGGGGTTAGGTTGCAGATGGACTCAGGAATAGAGATAGGGAAAGGCCACAGTGGGTCAGTGCTAGCTCACTGTGAGAAGAATCATCCCTGCAAGGGTTTATCCCAGCTCGAAACAGTGCCTGGATGGCTGTGTGGAATTACAGCATCCCACAGGATGCAGGATCCCAAGTGCGTGGGCGCCCCATGCTTTATAACCAGAGATGTAGCCCAGCCAAAAACTGGCATCGTGCCCACTGGATCTCTGGCTCCCGTGGGGACATCCTGCCAGCCAGGATGAGGCGTGAGGCAATCCTGGGATCTGCCTTCACAGGGTAAAGGAGAGGCACCACCGGGGCCGGCCCAACAGCAGCTCGGAGTCGTCGGCCAAGCACTCCCGGCACACGTCGGAGCGCAGGAAGAGCCCGTCACCCAGCCCTGGCCAGCGCAGCAGCTCCTGGAGCTCCAGCGGCTCCCTCTCCAAGTCCCGCTCCCGCTCCCGGGAGAAGAGAGCAGGACGCAGCCGCTCCCGATCACCCTCACCGAAAAAACCCGCCAGCAGGTCAGGCCCAGCAGGGACTTCAGCCCAGGAGACACTATGGGTGCCATCAGGGGGCTCAGGGGACACCACAGGTGCCATCAGGGGGCTCAGGGGACACCACAGGTGCCATCAGGGGGCTCAGGGAGCATCAGTGGCTCAGGGTGGTCCCAGCTCTCCTGGGGTTTGGGGAGGGGTCTCAGGTCATTGGTGGTGGCACTGGAAGGACCAGCTCCAGGTGGCAGTGCCAGCTGCCGCAGGGAGCTGCTGTCACAGGGTGTCCCTGGATCCCACCCAGGACCCCAGCCTGCTCCCTGACACTCCTCCTCCTCCTCCTCGGGGTGTAGAGAGAAGGACAACGAGCCCCGAACGCGTCACGGTGATCCCGATCCCGCCCGCGCCCGGCGCCGCTCCAGGAGCTACTCCCCAATCAGGAAGAGGAGACGTGACTCCCCCAGCTTCATGGAGCCCAGGAGGATCACGAGGTGAGTGAGTCCCGGCACGTGCCAAAGGCTCTGCCATGTCCATTGGCACGTCCCAGGGCTGAGCTCTGCCATGAGCTGGTCCTGAAGTGTGCGTGTGTGGGGGAACGGAGAGGCAACAGATGGATGGATGGACAGATGGACGGATAGGTGAATGAATGGATGGATGGATGTATAGATGGATGAATGGATGGACAGGTGGATGGGTGGATGGATGGACAGACAGACAGATGGACAGACGGACGGATGGATGGATGCATGCATGGACAGACAGATATACATATGGATAGATGGCTGCACAAATGGATGGGTAGATGGATGAATGGTGGGTGAATGGGTGGGTGGGTGGATAAACAGGTGGATGGATGGACAGGCATGCAGATGGATGGATGGGTGGACGGATGGACAAAAGGATGAGCAGCTCTGCGGATGGACAGATAACCCGGAGGGTGACCGGGTGAATCAGCTGGCCCAGACAGCTGGATAACCAGACTGCCTCCAATACTACGACCTTCTGATCTCTTCCTATTTCAAGGCACGAAAACAGGAATTAATTTTAATCCGGCTGTGCATATTCCAGAAAGATGCACATCCGCAATCGCATCTCTCCCCTGCCCTCCAAAAGCTGGTTTCTCCTCCTTGGGATCCTGTTGCCTCAGGATCCTGAGCTGTAAGACAGGCAATATTTCGTGCCAGACAAAACACCGTGTGCATATGTAGCACCTCGTTAACATGCAGCGCTGGCAGTGGGGCCTTGCCGAGCCGAGATTACCTCCTTCCTGACCTATTTGTCTCTCCTGCTATCAGCTGGGAGATCAGGGGGCTGGATTTTCAGAAATCAGCTCTGCCTCACTGTGGGAGGGATTTTGTTTTGCCTGGGCTGGACTGGAGTTGTCAGGAGGGAGGACAGGAGGAAGGACAGGAGCAATACTGCAGAGCCCATGGGTTAGGGCTCCCTGCAGCTCTTCCCGGTGTATGGCCTGGAAAGAAAAGGGGCTGGGAAATCTGCTCCCAGCCCAAAGGAAGGTTTTTCCCAGCCTGGGTACCACTGTTTGGTTTTCCATCCCTCCTGCTCCATCCTGGTTTTGCTGAGATGTCCCCAGGGAGATGGCAGGGCTCAGTTGGAGGACACAGCCTGCAATCCCTGTGAGGACTGTCCCCCCCATCCCTGCCACTGTCCCTGCCATGGATGGGGATAGCAGACCCAAATCTGCTTGGGGTTCAGGAGGAGCAGAGCCATTCCTACAAGGCCTAGAGGATACTGTGGGGAAGGGGCAGCTGGGGGAACGCCCCCATAGTTCAGCCAGAACTCCCAGGGCTTTTCCTTGCCCTCCTGCCCTGTCCCCAGTTCCCATCATCACACCCCCCCCACCACCTCCATGGTCCTACCTCAGTGATGCCAACCTCTCCTTTTCCATTTCATCCCAAGGTCCCTCTCGGAGAGCATCGCCGTCAGCCTGGCTCCCAGGGTAACCTCCCCCCTTCCTCTTCCTCTTCCTCCTCCTCTTCCTCCCGGCCCCCTCTGTGCCTCCTCACACCTTAGGACGCCCTCGGTACTCGGCTGCCTTGAGGCCGTGCCTGTGGCTCTCTGATTCCACTAACACCAGGCCGGGAGAGGGGGCAAGGGGCTGACTCCTGATGTCGCTGCCCCCCGTGCCCCCATTCCCACTGCCCCCGTGCTTCCCGTGTCCCTCCTCTCGCTCCGGCGCCGGCGGGGCCGCAGCTCGCCTCCCGCTAATCCCGAACGTCTCTTTTTCAGCAGCTTTCAATCTTTGGTGTCTGGGAAACACAAAGGCCACATTAACCTGCTCACTTTCTGCCCTCGACGCTGCCTAATCCAGGACTAACACCCCGGGGGGCGGGGGAAGGGGGGGGAGCTGGGGAGGAGGAAGGGGATGGATGGTGGGGGAGGTGATGTCGGGTGGCCGCATCCCGACACCCCGCAGCCGGTCTGAGCCTGGTCGCGGGGATGCTCGGCTTCCCTGGGTGGATGCTTGGCCGCGCCGGAGGTCCAGTGCTGGACCCCCTCCCCGAGCTGCCGCCGGGGGCCTCACTCGGATCCCTTTTTCCATTTGCAGTGCTCGCAAGCGTCCCATCCCCTACTACCGGCCCAGCCCCTCGTCCTCCAGCTCGCTGAGCACCTACTCGTACAGCCGGAGCCGCAGCCGCAGCTACGACAGCTACAGCTCCAGCCGCAGCCGCAGCCGGACTCGCAGCCCCCCCAGCCGCTCCCGCAGCCCCAGCCGCAGCCCCAGCTACAACAGCCGCAGCAGCTCGGAGAGCGCCGGCTTCTGAGCCCCCCCGGCACCCGGCCGCAGCCCCCTGACACCCCAGCTCTGCCCCCTCCATGCCTCCTGCGCCCCCAGAAGGGACGGGACCACCGGAGAGGTGGAAAAGAGCCGGGGGATGCTAAGGATGGACCTGGCGGCGGGGGAAAGCACGGACGGAAAGCGGAATGGGTCCTTGCATCGCCCATGGAAGGGGCGGTTCCCTCCCCGCTCCGGGGTGTTTTGGGGGTCGGGATGGGGAAGGGGAGGATGTCTTCTTATTTCTGCGAGTGCCGGGGAGGGGTCGGGTTGGGTGGGCGAGCACAGAGCGAGGGAACAAACGCTCAGCAGAGACTTTGGGGCGAGTGGGTAGGGGTGGCTGGGGGCCTCCCGGGACCCCTCCCTGTGCTTCTTTGGGTTGGTTTGACTGTTTTTTAGCACAAGAATATTGGGGGGAGGGGGGGGGGCGTGGCAGGCTCAGCTGGAAGGTGTGATGCCAGCCAGAGGTGAGCCCCCGCTTTTCCCCACTGGAGGTGTCCCCACAGTGTCCTGGGGGCTGGGGGGCACCATGGAACACTTTGGGGTTCCCCTAGACCTGAGAACATGCCGAGCCATGGATGAACAAAGCCAGCAGCACCCACAAGTCTCTTCCCAAGTGGGAAGATCCAGCTCCCTGTGTGTTAATGCTGCTCATCCCAGCTCAGGAGCCGGCCCTGGCACCCATCCATCCCACCCAGTTTAAGGGGGGCACCAAGCTGTCACCCCCTGGAGGAGGGAGCTGTGAGGCCTAGGGCTGGGCAGGGGGGGATTTCCCACCCCTGGGGGTGCATCCAGCCATCCTCTGGCTTTGGCATGGACCCCACTTCTGGGCTGGCTGCCCCCAGTCCCTCCCCGTTCTGGGGTTAAGCAGCTGCTTTTTAATCTGAATTATGGAAAGAGAGAGGCAGGAGGGTCCCGGGCCTGGCCCGCGGCCCTGCTTTTGCAGGACTTTGCTGATTTCCCAAAAAAAAAATAGCCCCCCCGGGCGCTGAGGACAGCCCTGGCCCCCCGGGGCGGTGTGTTGGTGTTTAATCCTCGTGGCCCTGCGTTTTCCGGACGGCTGGAGCAGGACAATGGGGATGAGCCTCCCTGGGTGGGAGAGCAGCTGCCCGGATTAACCCGCTGCCCCCGGCTGAAAAGCCAGGCTTTGGCCGTCCCGCTCGGGGCTGGTTTGCACCAGGCGGGGCCGGGGCATCCTTTGGGCTCCGGCTCAGCTGTGATGCGACAGCCTCGTTAGCCGTGGCCTGATGAACCGGAGGTCTCCGGAGGGCAGGGCTGCGGGAGGAAGGGACACCGTGGGCTCATCTCCCAGACCTGGAATGTTGAGGAACCAGGCTCAGCCACAGGCTGAGGATTCACCAGCCCTTGGAGAAAAATCCCAGGCCGTGAGGGGTGCCATCCCTTGGGTATCCCACCCACCAGCTGGCAAAGCCACCAGCCACCCTCTGTGGTGCCCAGACAAGCAGAGCTGTTAGAAATGGGGTGAGCATGTAAGGAGGGGACTTGTGCACGTGTGCCAGCCCCGGGGCAGGGCGGCAGCTCTGGATATCCCTGACTGTGGTAGGAGGAGACAAAGGGTCCTGCTCCCCCTGGGCCTGGGGAGATTGGAGGACACGAGTTCCCTCAGCATCCCTACGAACCCCTGAGCCCCGCGCTCCGAAAATCACTCCGCCCATCTCCACCTGCTGCCGCAGCAGCCCCCGGGCCCCCCATGGCTCTGTCCCCACCACTGCTCCACGGGGAAGCTCAGACTGGGATACAGGGGGTGTCCCCTGAGACCATCCCAACCCAAGCCACCGGCAGGGGGGTTATTTTACCAGTGGCCGCAGCCCCAGCCCTGCAGTCCCCGGGGCCGCGGCTCCCGAAATCCCGAGACCCGCCTGCAGCGGCGCCGCGGACGAGCCAGCACATCAGGGAAAAATTCCAGTCTTCCTCTTTTACAGTCTCTGTCTCCTGCCGCGGAGGGAGCCAACTGGAACAAATACTCTGTAGAAATACTTCAGTATTTTCCTGTCGCGCGTGCGCTCTCTCTCTGGGTTGTGAGTACAGCCGTAGATGCCGTGAGCTGGTGCAATTATAATAAATATACAGTATATATTGTAAATTACTCTGCTGGGCACTGAGAGGTTTCTTCATGGGGGGAAAACAGCGGGGTTCTCCTGGCAGACCCTCCTCCTCCTCTCCCCTGTGCCCGCTGTCTCCAGCCGCCCTTGGCTCACTTTTCCCTCTGGCTCCGTATGGAACAGCGCTGGGCACCAGCTGTGTGTCTGATCCCCCTGAGCATTCTGCTGTGGGGAGGGGGGAACCCTCTGAGAACCTCTCCCTCTGCATCTTTCCCCTCTCCCTGCAGTCTCCTGGCTCCCTGCAGCCTTTCCTGCATCCCTCCCTTCGTCCGCAACCTCCCATCCATCACATTTGCATCCCTCCCTGCATTCCTGCCTACATCCCTGCATCCCTCCCATCTCTCGCATTTCCCGGCATTCCTGCCTGCATTCCTGCCTGCATTCCTCCCATCCCTCCCATTTCCCAGCATCCCTCCTTCCATCTTCCTCTGCATCCCTCCCTGCATTCCCTCCATTTCCCTCTATCCTTCCCATTTCCCTGCATCTCCCGCCTCCGCAGTGCCCCCCTCCTTTCCCGGCTCCCCCCCAGCCCATTCCAGATCCCACACGACTCAACTTCCTGCAGCCCCTTCCCACTTGCTGCCATTCCAGAGGGATGGGCTGGGCACTGCCCCAGACAAAAGACGCTCCCAATTCCCCTCTGCAGCACCCACCCCACATTCCTTACTCCCTGGGGTCACACATCCCTGCTCTGAGTGTCAGGGCTCAGCTGCCCCTTCCACCTCCTCACTTCTCCAAATCAAAGCTGGGGGGCACAGCAGGACAGGGCAGAGGTGATGGGGTCCCAGAGAGGACGGGGTCCCAGAGGGGATGGGGTCCCAGAGCTGCCAGGCTTGCTGGGCTGGAAAACAGCCCTTCCCTGGCATGGGGGCATGGAGTCTGGCCCCAGGTGGGAATCTGGAGATGCTCGTTTGGACATGAGGGCAAATGACTTAGGGAGGGAGCGCCCCTCTCCCAAACAGAGTGTTCTGTTGCCTCCAGCCCCCCCCAACCCCCTCTAGTACCCCCAGTCCCCTCCAATCCTCCTGGCCACCTCCAACCCCCCTAACCACATCATCACTATCAGCTCCTCTGCTCCCCACAGGCCCCATCAGATCCTATAAGCACACACCCTCCCACCTCCTGCTGATCCCATTGCCCCCCAAGAGCCTCCTCAGCCCTGTGGCACTCAGGGACCCCCACCCACAGGGGCTGGAGCAGCCTCACCCCAACTTGGTGCTCGGGGTTCCCCACCACACTGCTGAGCCCTGGGGCCACTGAGGGCCTGGCAGGCTCCAGAACCTTCTAGCTGGTGAGTGACCAGGGGCTGGGGGGCTCCAGAACCTTCTAGCTGGCAGGTGACACAGCGCAGGGCCATGCACGGCCTCCTCCACTGACTCATCCCACCATTCCCGAGGCACTGGCCCAGCCCCAGCTCCCTCCCTGCAGGGCCAGCGTGTCCCGGGGATTGTTTTACGGGCAGGCAGGCGGGAAGAGCCCGGGAGCCGCTCCAAGGGCCATCCATCACTCCCAACCAGCCAAGCCTCTCGCGATGAAAGGCGGACGGACACTTCCTTGGCAGGGGGACCCTGCAGGCTGCCAACCCCCTCCCCGCGCTGCCCACGCACTGCGGCTGCGTGTGGCCGCCCCAACCCCGGCAAAGTTTCTCGTCCCTTCCCTGGAGCTGCTGCGATTTCCATTAATAGCCAGCTGAGCCTCCCAGCTAAAAATAACCCCCAGCCCTCTTCATAAGGCACCGCCGGCCGGCCCCTGGGCAGCACCACACACCATGGCTGAGCGACGCGTCCCCTTCACCTTCCTGCGCAGCCCCAGCTGGGACCCCTTCCGCGACTGGTACCATGGCAGCCGCCTCTTCGACCAGTCCTTCGGGATGCCCCACATCCCCGAGGATTGGTACAAGTGGCCGAGCGGCAGCGCCTGGCCGGGATATTTCCGCCTGCTGCCCCGGGAGAGCGCGCTGATGCCGGCCCCGGGCTCGCCCTTCGGGACGGCGCTGAGCCGCCAGCTCAGCAGCGGCATCTCCGAGATCCGCCAGACCGCCGACAGCTGGAAGGTCACCTTGGACGTCAACCACTTTGCACCCGAGGAGCTGGTGGTCAAGACCAAGGACAACATCGTGGAGATCACCGGTGGGTGCTGGGATGGGGGGGGTCTGCGGGGGCTCTCGAGGGCGCTGGGGTGAGGGGGCTGCTCCAGAGCTTGCTGGGGGGAAAAAAGGGGGGAAAGGAAACATAGGGTAGGATAAGGAGTGGGAAGAGAGGGAAGGAAAAGCAAAAAGAGGAGATGGAGGGGACAGGTGGGAGGAGAGGAGAGGAAAAAGGGAAAGAGAAAGGGAAAGGGAAAGAAAAAGGGAAAATCAAGGCACAGAGGAAGGCCCAGCACTACAGCTCAGCCTTGGGGTGCATTCACATAGCACAGGGTACAGAGCACCCCTCCAGCCCCATATATTGACCCCTCACTGTTGTCCCACCCAGGACACAGGGAGGGACCCCCTGGCTGGGACCCACAGAGGGACCCAGGGGGTGATGAGCCCTGCAGACCAGGGTGGGTGACCAGCCCCACGCTCCCTGCAGAGCCCTGGGCAGCTCAGTGAGGGATGCCGTGACAAAGTCCAGAGCAGTGGCACAAGGCCAGGATGTGCTTCCTGCTGGGCCAGGACGGTCTGCACAGACCGGGGGCAGTTCCCAGCCAGAGGGATTTGGGATGCAGCCTCAGGAAGAGGGGGATGCTCTGTCTCCAGCCTCACTGGCTGTGGTGCCAGGTGGCTGCTGTTGAGTCCCTTTGGCCACCACCAGCTCCTGGCATTGCACTTTGCTCCACTTGAATTTGGGGGATGCTCCCAGAAGGGCCTCACTGCCCCTGGTCCCTCACAGATGCTTCAGGCTGATATTATGGTGAGAAACCCCGAGATGGGCAGAATCAGCCCCTCCCTGGTGTCAGGCAATGTTGGGATGGGGTGGGAAGGCTGTTCCCCCTAGCTGGGTGTTTCCTTTCCAACCATCCCGGGGTTTTGTTTCCTTGCAGGCAAACACGAGGAGAAGCAGGATGAACACGGCTTCATCTCCAGGTGCTTCACCCGCAAATACACGTAAGTACCAGAGAGGAGGAGAGTTGGGATCCTGACAGCACCTCGATGTCTTTGGGGACCTTTGCCCACCCACCCATCCCCCTCAGTGCCCACTGGCCAGACTGGGAGTGGGGGAGGCAGCAGTTTGGGGCTCTCACATCCCTGGGGGAGTAGGTGGGGCAGTGGGGTGCTGCAGCCCTGACCCCCCCTCTCCTCCCACAGCCTCCCCCCCGGTGTTGAAGCCACGGCCGTGCGATCCTCGCTGTCCCCCGACGGCATGCTCACGGTGGAGGCCCCCTTGCCCAAACCCGCCATCCAGTCCGCCGAAATCACCATCCCCGTCACCGTCGAGAGCCAAGCCAAGGAACCAGCCAAGAAGTAGGCGGCACCCAGGAGGAGGAGGAAGAGGAGGAGAATCCGCCGCCAACCCCACCCCCAGCTGCCCCCCTCGCACCCGCCCCCTTTTTACTGTTGATTTTGTACTCGCCCTGTCACCGAGTGCCTTGAATAAATGTGAAGGAACCGACATTATCAGCTGGAATAAAAACTGGTGAAAGAAACCCGTGCCTGTGTGTGTCCCCCGGCACCACGGCCGTGCCGGCTGGGAGCTGCATTGCAGGCACTGGGACCAGAGCACCGGGATGGGGCTGCCTGGGGCCATTGGGAGGGGGCGTGGGGGGTGTCACTGGGGCCAACATCCTGAGTCTCCCTGTCCTGGATATCCCACATCCGGGTCTCCTCCATCTCAGCTCTTCACATCCCAGCCTCCAGTATCCCAGGTCTTTACATCACAAGTCTCAAAAATTTCTGGTCTCCAACAACCCAGGCTCAGCATCCCAGTTTTCCACAACCTGGGTCTCCTACATCCCAGGTCTCTCAAATGCCAAATCTCAGCACCCCGGGTCTCACCCTCCCTGGTCTCCACCACTCTGGCTCTCAGCCAATATCAGAATATTTTGGGTCTCCACACCCCAGTGTCACTCACCTGGGTGACATCCCTGAAAAACAAACACCACCCTCCCCCTGCTCTGGGTCACAAGGGGGGCCAGAGGGCAAACAGGGGCTTCGTGGGCAGAAGCTCTGCTTGGGAAGCTCTGCAGAGCCCCAGCCCTGCCATCCAGTGCTCCCCTTTCCTTCCATCCCATTGTGGTGAGGGCCCAGCTGGGGGACCAGCCCAGGGGCTGCAGCCATACTGGGGGGCTGGATTGGGGCAGAGGGGGGGTCGTGGTCTCAGGTTCAGCCCCAGCTTGCCCCGTGCCCTCTGTGCCCCCTGTGCCTCTGGGCAGGACTGGCCCTACACGGCAGAGGTCAGGCCCAGGGCTTCAATGTTCCCACTCCGACAAATCCCACTAATCCCCCCTGAGTCATCCCAGAGGCAGACGGTGACCTGGGAGGAATCCCGCAGCCGCGAGGCCCCTCTCTGAGCTCGGGGGGCTCCACGTGCCCCCCGAACCCCTTCCCCCCATCCCCTCTGCCCCAGTAGCCTCGGGGGTGACCAGTTTGGCAGCTCTCAGGCACAATCTCGGGGTCAGTTCCTGCTGCCAGGGGTCACCCATGTGCTTGGGGGGATCCCCTACATGTGTGTGTGTGTCGGGGGATGCAAGGCTTTTCCAGCCCGAGTGTGTCTCCAGGGGAAGAAGCCCCTCCAGGAGCATCCCCAGCCCCCTCCCCTCTCTCCCGTGGCCATACCACAGTGGCTCTCACTTCCCAAAAGCCGGTGGTGAAGGGGCTGTCGGAGCACCACGGCGCCGGGGTGGGGCTCGGGGTGTCCCTCTCCTTGTGGGGGTGCTCGGCGAGCCCCCAGCCCCTCATTACCATCACCCAGGGGTTGTTCCCGGCCCCTTCCTGGGGGTGTCCACCCCGCACCCCCGGATCCCTCGCAGGGCGCGTGAGTCAGGGCGCATTTTCCGTTTATAGTTTCCCGGGGAGGGGAGTATTTTTACAGCGTGAGTCACCGCGCGTGTGGCTCCGGGCGGAAAACCATCAGGGAAGGGGAGGGAGGGAGGGAGGTGGGGAGGCTCCCACACACCCAGCCCTGAGCCCACGGGAGCATCCAACAACCCTCCCCGCCGCTCCCACCTTCCCTCGCCTCTGCCCCGGGAAGGAGCCCGGTGAACCCTTAATCCGCCGGGATCCTCTGCGCCGGCGGAAGGGCGGCGGCCCCCGGGATCAGACACCCGGCTGTTCCCGAGCCCCCCCCCAACCCCACGGAGCCCCCCAGAAACTCGACACAGGCGATAACAATTAAGCAGCGCTGACGTCAGATCTGTAAGTTTATTTGCTCAATGTACGACGGCTACATAATGACTCACATTCATGATATTCCATCACTGAGGAAAAACTGCTAAGAATGGTCCGTGTGTGAAATAATTCCTTACAGAAACACGGAGTTGGAAAAATAATCACTGATTAGACCTTAAAAATAGTTCACTGCATAACATGACAAAAAGCACAAACAAAGGCTCATTCAAAGAACACAGTCATTGTTCTCCTACACTGTAATAGTTATAATTTCACCATGACGAACACCAGACATTAAGATTAAGCTAACACTGGTGTTTTCTTTTGCTTTTTTTTTTCCTTTTTAAAAACAAAATCATATATAATTGCATGTCACTATAGCAACATCCATAACAGATCAGTTTGTTACGATCACTATTTGGTAGAGCAAACTTTACCCCCGAAAAAAAAAAAGGAAAGAAAAATAAATTAAAAAACTTTAGAAAATTTTTGAAGACTATTTTGTCATAGGAATACATAACATCTACAGTATAAGTTAATAAATTTCAAGCTACTGTATAGAAATACGACACTAGCATGCACAATATTGTATCAATAGAGTAATGGAGCAGTAATCATTTCACTGGAGAGACAGTATCATAGGCAAGTGCATCTCTTAAAAAATGAAAGAAACCATTCAAGCTGCTTAAAAATCAAGTCCCTGACCCCCACTCCGTTTTTAGCCCTCTTGTGCCATCTCTCCTGCATAAGTTTCCTAAAGCAGCCAGAGCAAAAGCCAAAAAGAGTAGTAATTAAAAAAAAAAAAAAAAAAAAGATAGGTTTTGTAATTCCAGTAAATCACTTCCAAATTGTACAGCTGGGACAACACTGCTCACGGGACACAGGGGTCGATGAGAAGGAGATAAGAAGCCTAAAGCATCTCCCGGTCCCGGCACGCACCGGCACCGCGGGCCCCCAGCCGCGGGGATGCTGCACCCCAAATTCCTGCAAAGCGCCTGGGGGGCCTGACTTTGGGTGGATGAATCCCGGCTGGAAAAAGCTATTCCAGCACCACTGGGGCAGTGTCCGGGGGCCGAGCACGGCCTGGCCCCGCTCGCTCCCCGGGGAGCCGGGCAGCGGCTTTGGGACAGCGGGGAGGGAGCCGGAGCCGTGTCCCCCCCGCGCACCCCGGCAGCAGGAGCGGCTGTGCCGTGTGTGCCACACCACGACGCCGTGTCGGGCTGACTCTCAAAGGGACAATGAAAGCCTGTTTCCAAAAGCAGAGCGATGTTTAATAAAGAATAAAAGCACGAGTGCGGTTTCCTCTCACTGCGCAGCGCTGGGTGAAGCGCTGCAGGGCGCAGCGCTCTGAGAGCCAGAGAACAGCAGTGAACCTCCAACAACCGTGGGAAAATCAAAATTAAAGCTAAACTTACTCAAAATGGGGTAAATATTACCTGCTAAGCAACTCATAGATGCCCCGTCCCCCACCCCCAGCCAGATCAGACAGACTTGGAAAAGATTTTGCTAAGAAGAGAACTAAGTTCCTGGGCTCCTGATGGTGGATAGAAATGTCTATGATTGTAGCTCTTCCTCTTGAGGAATTTCTCTACCAAATTAGTTTCTAAGCTCCTGAAGTTCACTCATTACACCACAAGCTTCCCCAGGAGAAAGGAAAATGCACCTGGCTTCCCTGGTGACAAACAAGGGAGCCTGGGTGCTGGAGATCTGCTGACAAACCTCATGGTACAGTGGGAGAAGGTCAGGCAGAGTGAAATGGCAGTGCAATCCCTGAGGAAGCAGCTGTGGCACCTTAAACCAGGATGGTCTTTTGAAATACCAAACACAGTACATGACATACAGACCTGAATGCTCTTTTTTTTTTAATTTTTTTTTATTATTATTATTTTTTTTTTATTTAAGTGGCATTTTTTTTTTTTTTTAAGTTTAAACACTTCCCCCTTGTCTAATTAAGTTCTTAAACCTTTTGCTGTGGACTTAAAATAGTTGAAACAGCCGCTAGCCAAGCACCTGTTAAGCTGTTGACCAAAAAACTAGAGCAGCTTTGATGTTCCTCGGGCGGGCGATCTTCTTGCCTTGGGCGACACAGAATAGCTAAAGCCAGTCCACAGGCCAGGACTGCTCAGGAAGGCAAGCCAAAAGAACTAGCAAAAGAAAGAAAAACAGACAATCAAAGGCTTGATGTCATATGGCTGTAATGTAGAAATACTGTAAACTGCAATTTAGTGTCAATACTGTAAGCTATCCTAATATATATCTTAACAAGAAAAAAAAAAAAAAAAAAGAAAAAGATTGGATGGCCTAAATCCTGGGGCTCTGTGAGCCCCAAACTGTTTAGCTTTGTTGGTTTTATTTCTAATTCCTTCTCAATTTGGGGATTTGAAGCTGCGCCCTGGCGGGCAGAGCGCTGCAGAGACGCCCCGTGACGTGGTGCGGACACACACGGCACCTGGACTGCGGAAACAAACGCACGAAGCCTTACTGGAACCACAGAACTCCCTTTTTTTTTTTTTTTTTTTTTGTTTTGTTTCGCTTTTGTCTTTTTTTTTTTTTTTTTAAATGTTTTTGCGTTGCTTTCCTTAAAAACGAGGGCCATTCCATCCACGCAAATTCGTCTTAAAACCCTTTTATTTCTAGCAATAAAGTTAAATTAAAGACAGCTCCACTTGTATTAATAATCTACAGAACAGTCCATATGCCAGTGAGGCTGCTATTCCATACCAGCACAGCCAGCCTGACTTCCACTAGTGGTGTTTTGGCAAAAATGTCAACGAGGCAATCAAAGACAGGTTGTGGGGGGCCTCCCTGGGAAGGTGTCCCCTCCCTTTCCCTCCCCCACCCCTGCCCCCCCCCCACTCGTGGGAAAAAAATAAAGACTGCAGTAGTTAGCATCAGCGTGCGGCTGCCAGTCCATCGGGGGGGTCTAGTTGTTGCCTTCTCCGCCGTCGTCGTCTTGCTGATCGCTCGTCCAGAGCGTTAGGTTGTCGCGGAGGAGCTGCATGATGAGCGTTGAGTCCTTGTAGGAGTCCTCGTTGAGGGTGTCCAGCTCGGCAATGGCGTCATCGAAGGCCGTCTTGGCCAGGTGACAGGCCTGCTCCGGCGCGTTCTGGATCTCGTAGTAGAAAACCGAGTAGTTAAGCGCCAGCCCGAGCCGGATGGGGTGGGTGGGCTGCATGTGCTCCTTGCTGATCTCATGGGCTTCGCTATAGGCCTTCTCCGAGGACTCCACCACGGTCGCCCTCTTCTCCCCGGTGGCCACCTCGGCCAGGTAGCGGTAATAGTCCCCTTTCATCTTCAGGTAGAAGACTTTGCTCTCGTACTGCGTCTCGCTGCAGTTCTTGATCAGGTAGTTGTCCAGCAGGCTCAGCACATCCTGGCACACTGCTTCCAACTCCTTCTCGATCTTCTCGCGGTAGGCACGGACCATCTCGATCTTCTTCTCGTTCCCATCGGCTGAGGTCTTCTGCTCGATGCTGCTGATTACTCGCCAGGAGGAGCGCCGTGCCCCCACCACGTTCTTGTAGGCCACGGACAGCAGGTTCCTCTCTTCGTTGGACAGGGGCTCGTTCAGCTCTGTCACCTGCATGGAGAGAGGGAGACACAAGAGAGACACTTGGGTTAAGCCCCAGTCACTTGATGCTCCGATCACATGTTTGGGTGTTCCCGTGAGTCTCTAGTGAGAGGCAGGAGGAGGCACTTGGCTTGCAAAGTCCCGCTCTGTCATCCAGCATCTGCTCCCATCCCAGCAGGAGCCAGATGGGAAATCACGCTGTGGTTCAGTCCCCAATGAGGAAGGGGAGTGGGTTCATTTCGAGGTATTGTCGGCGTTTTGCAGAATGAGAAAAATCTTCTAGAAAAGAGATGTCCTTCATCAGCATGAGGAGAGTCAGGCTCTGTGATGCAGTAAGAGGGACAGTCAAAGCAAGAGGGAGAAGATGGTCCAGGGTTATGAGCTAGCCACATGGTCTAACATCACCAGAGCTATGGGGTGTTCACCTTTTTCACTTCCCATGAGCACAGGCTGTGTTCCCAAGACACTCAAAGGATGTATAGATGGGACAGTTACAGCTGCCTCAGGCATCTGCACAGATAAGGACTTAAGAGCTCACATGGCGAGGGTATGTCCTTCCCACGTGGGATTTTCCTCACTGAGGTTACAGTGTTAGTGCACAGCGTCACCTGCCTCACGTGCTGTGACAACAGAGGGATTACTGAGATGACAGCTCAGAATGATCTCAGTTACCTTGGAAGTATCACACTTGGTATCTCAATAATCCCATTCCAGCTCCTGCAACACTGGAGTGGAGCCACCTGGGCAGCACCTCTGGCCAAGTGCCTCATGGGGAGGAAGGGCTCACATCCTCCTCGACTCTGAGCCCTGTGTGTGGGTCTCTGAACCCTTGGAGCAGACAGGACACCACGGCAGCTCCACCAGGATGGTTACAGCTGCCAAGTGGCACTTTGAGCCTGGGCATGGCTGCTGTCCTCATCCCCTGGGAGCACACTGCCCCACCACATCCACACCCTGGGCATGGCCACTTGGGAAGCCGGCCAGCGGAGCAGGAACCTGTGAGCCACCTCACGGCACTCAGGGATTAGGTAATGGTTTGGACGTGAAAGGCTTCTGTAAATACTGAGTCACTCTCACAAGGATCTGTGAGGACAAGGTTTGCTCTGGACCCAGATAACCATGTTTATGGTGGGGATCAGCAGGCCAACGGCTCCTGCTGGAAGGGGGAGGATGGCCCAGCCCAGGACCTCACTTGAGTGGCCTGGAATGACTCACTCTTGCTCACACTATTGAGCTGCTCATTCCAGCAACATCCACTCCCCCTGCAGCTCTTCAGCCATGCTCTGGCTGATGTCTCCTCCCAAAAACAGGCTACAGCCAAGCTTCAATTTCCCCCACAGCAAGCAGAGTCTCTGGTCTCTGATCTGGACCCCCTCTGCTTCTTTCCTCAAGGCAGAGGCAGCAAGGAGAGCCTCCACTCCCACCCCTACTGTTGTTTGGACCTGTGTTGCTCCACAGCCCAGCAGGGGAAGAGCAAACACCCCTTTCTGTACAGAAGAGGGTCTTACAGCGCAACCCAGCACAACTGCTTCTGCTCAAGGGTAGAAGGTGGTGGAGGGATGGGGGAAAGGGGTGTCACGTTAACGAGGGCAGGATCTCCTGTGACTATCAGCAGCCTCCAGCAGCACAGGACAAGGAGCATGGGGCAGGGTGCCAAGGCAGCTCCCAGCGTTCCCGCCCAAGGTAAGCAGGGCAGCGATGCCCGGGCCATCCGGCAGCTCCCGGTGCCAGAATAACCCTCACCCCCCCTCTCCCAGCAAGGCTAACGACAGCTGTTTAACCACACAGCCCTGGGATCCCTGGGATCCCACACTGAGACCTGACCACAACTGAAATACCCATGGCAAGCCACTCCAACGCTGCCTCTCAGCCTGCCTGGTGCTGCGAGGGCAGAGGTCTCTAGAGATCTGCATTTTTACAGAATGACTCCCTTCATTCTTCCCCCTGAGTGGCACCTGCACAAACACACATTAAAGATCCTGCGAGGTTAAAGCCACCTTTGGAAGATATTGGAGCACAAAAAAGGTGTCCCCCTGCCCCAGAGACTATGGATTGTCTATCTTTGGAGATATTCAAAGCTTGATCAGGGTACTGAGGGTCTTCTCCCCACCTAAGCTGTCCTGCTTTGAGTGAGGGATTTGGGACTGGGAACATCCAGGAATCCCAGCCTGAGTTATTCTCTTGCCTTCCTGTAAATGGAGTGTCCAGCCATACAAGAGACTCACTGATTCCAACAGTTTTTTTTGTCCTGACTGGAGCTGTAGAGGTGGATAACCACATGAGATCTTGCTTTTAGCAAGGTGCCCCCTAAGCAGAGATACCAGTTTTTAAGTGAGGATCAAGCAGGTGATTTAAAGCTGCCCCACAGCCACGTCTGCAGATATGTATCACTGTAGGAAGAAGCAGATTTACCTCCTCTCACCAGAAGAGTCTTGCTGGAGGACAGATTTATTAAAACTACAGGGAGTTTCGTGGGATTAGCTTTGCCATAAACATTTTAAATTCAAAGCTATTAAGGATTACGGAGGAAAGTTGCCTGTCAAAATCCTTTCAACAAACTGGCTGACAGATGGAAGGTACACCTGTGGAGACAGCAGATTCCCCCAGGGAGCTCACAAGGGAACTTGTAAAAGCAGAAAGGGAGCCTCGTTAACCATGTCACTGCTTTCCAGTGGTACCCAGGCTCCCAGGGAGGAGCACTGCAGAGATTTGTCCCCACCTGTAACACGGGTGGGGACAGGGACTGCATCCCTCAGCACTAGGAGAGGGAAGGGAAGGGGCTGCAGTCCCACACATTTCAGTCTGCGACTGAGTGAGGGAGGAAGAACAGCAAACCATCTGGCACTTGCATTCCCAGCAGGAAGAAAACGCAAGATGCCCAGGACACAAGATACTGGACAGCAGGGTGCACTTAGCTGCCTTATTAGCTGCCTTATCAGAGTCAGTGGAAGGTGGAAAAGATGTATCTCAGGTTCAGCTGCCTTTGAGGACATCCCTGCCCTCTGACTGACCAGAGCTGCTGCCACCTCTTGAGAGCTGGTTTTTTTCTTACACAGCAGGATACCAACACAAAGTGAGTTCAGTCAAGCCACAGGCTAAACAGCAGGCTCGATGTACTGAATTTACTGCGTTGCACTGAACACTTCTGATGTACCATCAATAAGGCAGCATCCTGCACCAGGCCTGCATCACACTGCAGCAGTCATGTTACAAGCCCTTCTGGAGGGCAGAACCCTCCCCCTTCTTAACTCAGACCCTGGAGAGGTCTCACCTCCCCCAGGAAGGGCAGTACCCTGATCAGATCCCCTGATGTCATTCCCAGCACTGTTACATGGAGTCAGAGACTTCAAATAGCCAAAGGAAAATCTCAGTCTGGCACGGGAGGGCTTGGCAGGAACACAAAGCCATGGACCTCTGGCTGGAGGTCTACCTGTTCTCTGGGAAGCTCAGTCAGTTTGGAGTTTTACTTCCCTGAACAGCAGAACTTGCTTCACAAATCTCAGTAACTGTCCAGCCTCACTCATCCTTGTGCCCCTGGAGACTGGGGGAGAGGGCAGGAAACGCACGTGGCTGAAATGGAGTCAAGCCCTGGATGTGGCACAAAGAGCCAAGCACAAATAGCTAATCCACATGCTGGAAACTCGATAGGGGAAAGTCTTTTTGCTATTCTGGAACAAAAACAAAAAAAAAAAAGGAAAAAAAAAAAAAAAAGAAAAAAAAAAGGGAAAACACAAGTGCCAGGAGCCTGACCTTTCACACACTGCACAAGGACACCTGGCCAGGGAGCGCAGGGAGCTTGGCATGGAGCACTCCACACTGCCCGCTTTGGCTGGGAGGCACGTTCCACCACTGAGCTTGCGGGCACTGCCAGTTCCAGTCTCACCAGTTCCCCCAGCCTTTGATGGCACAGCATCTGCACCACCAAGACTCAGGTGCCCTAAAGCCACAGGGAAACTCCGACAGTTCCTGTTGGACAAAAACTACTGGAAGTTTAACATTTCTGCTGCTTGGGAGTCCAGGGGTTTGTACAAATCCGAGCCCTCTGATTTGCAACGAAGCACTGCAGAGGCGGCACCATCTCTGAGAAGGCTTTCCCGACTTCTCCACTACAGCTGGAGCTCTGACTCAGCACTCTGCCCAAAACCTGGCAGGCTCCAGGCATGCCCGAGGATCACACTGCAGCCAGGGAAGGTTCAGCCTCGTGCAGAGAAGCCAGGGAGCAAGCACAGCTTTACCTGCCCCTAATGTCCAGGTACGTGAACTCCAAAAGCTTCTTTCCAGAAGCATTTTAATTAGCAGGCCTTTGTGAGACCCATGGGGAAGGCTTGCCCCCAGACAGCAGCAGGTTAGTTTGCTTACAGGGCTTATTCCAGGACTCCCATCCTCCTCACCCTGCATCAGTAGGTTTGAGTACAAGTACAACGTGAAATGATCCCTTTTGAGGACCCTTCAGAGGCTGCCATGGAGATCCATCACAGGACTGAGTTCTACCTGTTTATCCTTACACACTTTTCACTTAGTTTGGTAATTAAGTGCCCACCCATTTATGGCTCCTGCCTAGCTTTGATGTCTTATCTTAAAGCAAACAGCACAGCAAGCTGAGCGGACCCAGAGATGCTCCCTGGGGAATACCATCAACATCTGACAGTTCAAGCCATGTTATAATCATCAACACTTGCTTTCTGATCCCCAATCCCTGAAGACATCACACACCTTACAAAGGAGCCAAGCTTTCCTGGAGAGGGACAGACTATCATGAGAACCTCTTTTAAAGATCACCAGAGCTCCTCTCCCACCAGGATACACAACATCCATCTCCTCCTCAGCACTCGTGTTTCCTCTCTTCTATCCACAGCTCCTGCACCACGTCATTAAGTCTGTTATCTCTCCACCCAAACCCCAGCAACCTCCTTGTTTTCCTTCACTTGCAGCTCATTAGTCACTCTGAGATGGGGCCTGAAGGTCCCCTTTCCGTTTCATTTTTTAAAACACAAATGCGCTTTTGAAAC